CCTGCCTTTTTTTTTTTTTTTTTTTTTTTTTCCTCTTTTTGAGACAGCCTGTTATGTATCCCAGCCAGGTGTTGAACTTAACTATTTATCTAACTTGACCTTGAGCTTGTGATCCTCCTGTCTCTACCTCCTGAGTTGCTGGGATTAGAGATGTGTGTCACTAGGCCTGGTTTATGTGAAGCTGGGGATTGAATTCAGGATGTCCTGTATGCCAGGCAAGTGCTAATTAACGTGGATCTGTTTAATAACAAGGAAATTTTATTCTAAAATTAAAGGACATGACCAAACTCGACACTATAATCTCAAGCATATTTAAACATGTTGAAATAGGGAAATGTGCCAAAGCATTAGGTAGAAAGAAGACCAGTTGTATGTATTTGCAATATTCCCCATTAAGCTGTTACATTGATGTTGGGGTGAGGGAGGGAATGGCATTCCCAAAAAATGATTGAAAAAATAAAGCCTTGTCTGGTCAATGTCATGGCCATCTATCACTCCATTATAAACTCTTGAGGGACCAGAGATCTAACAGGAACAAAATAATTAAGCTGAGCAGGATCCAAGAGCCTGCTGAGTTGACAGGCAGTGTCCAGGGGCCCTGGCAATTCATGTGAGCTATTTCCTCTCCCTTTCCCCAAGGTGGGGGGTCTCTCAGGACTAGCTGACACTGGTCTGGGAGGGCCAGGAGGGTGTGTTCATTTGTAAAAACACCTTAAGTAGCTCTGAGTTTTTGAACTCTAGTTATATGACAACACAGTGCCCAGGAAGCCCAACCAGGCCTCCCTGTCCATCATCTACTTGGAGGCAATGCTGTAGTCATCACCTACCTCAGATTGTTGCTCAGGGAGTTTCATGTTGTCAAAAATCCGAAATACAATCCTAAACAGGTCCTGCCACCAATGCTTTTCAAAGGTGTGGCCATAGCTCTTCATGATCTCAAACATGACGGTGAGTCCTCTGGAGAAAACAGATAGGACAGCAGGTGGGGGAAAGAACTAAACAGAGATAGGGGAAGGACAGAGGCTGGGGAGCAGGAACAGGCTCGTTTCAGTGACATCAAGGTGCCACCACCTTGGAGACCCAGTTACCTTGTTCGCACATCTAACTTGCATCTATTAATGATGCAGGAGAGCTCAAATAAGATGGGAAACCAGCCTCGGACCCAGACTCTGTCTCCAGGAGCTACATTCATGTCATCGCTTGTGTATTCTTGCAGTACCTACGATGAAAGTCAACTCTCAGATGTAGACTATGTAGAGGGAGGGAATGGAAAGACAACTACACAAAGGCAGAAGCACCAGACAAGCTCTTCTCAAATCTCCATTCAACAGGGTAGAAGGGGGACTCCTAGAGATTGAGAGATATATTTAGCCACTCAACTATCCAGAAAGCCTTGGATGAAGTAACAGGCCGTGCCCACTATTTACTGAGTGCTAGTTACCATTTTACTGATGAGCTGCCTGGGGCACAGGCACAGAGCCTAAAAACACAGCCCAAGGTCACAAAACCAAGCCCTGCAGGCTTAACAGTCTGGGTGTAACATAGTACTCTACTTCTCTGCTCTACGAGGGCTCTTAAAGTGGTAATAGAATTTCTTTATCAACTCTGGGCAGGAAACATTAGGCAATTTCTCTGTGTACTTCAGTGAGCTCTCCTGTGAACAGATATAATTACTCTTCTGACCTCCCTTTGGAGAGGATGGTGGTGGTAGGGATGGAAGCCAAGGACCCTGTGCATGCCAAGTACACAAGCTACCACTGAGCTCTGTAACCAACAAAGGCAATTTGGAACTGTACCTTCTCAATCATAATGGCAAGTGATTTATTAAAAAGGGAAGTCTGATATGGGAATAAATGGACACAAGAAATACCCAGGAACCTGACAGTTCTAAGTGCAATGCTGACTCTCACTGTCAGTGCAGGCTAAAGACCTATTAAAAAGACAGACACAAAAAGACCAAACCTACCTACATGCAAGCAATACACTCAATACACATTAAATTAAAAAAAAAAAAAGACTAGACATATCATCAGGCAGTTTTCCCAATTCTGTGAAGAACACTTAAGAGGTCTGTATAAAGCAGTATAGTTGAGGTGGGTTTATTTACCTCCAGTTACAGTGTTTTGGGACTGTCCCTTTAGTTGAGTAGTTTAAAATATATATATATATATCTTAATTTGTGTAATGTGTGTACTGCCTGCTGGAGTTAAGGACAGTTGTTAGCTGTCATGTAGGTACTGGAAATCAAACCCAATTCCTCTGTAAGAGCAGTCAGTGCTCTTAACTGCTGAGTCATCACTCCAGCTCCCCAGTTGAGTTTAAAAGTCTCATCCAGAAAGGTGAGATATATCAGAAAAACCCCAAACATTTTCAAGAGCAAACAAAAGGTGACTTTTTTTTTTCTTTTTGGAGGGGGTGATGGTGGTAGGGATAAAATGTGGGGGCCTCATGCATGTTAAGCACACATTCCACTACTGAGTTCCCCAACCCACAAAAGCAATTTGTAACTCCAAGTTCTTAGGCAAAATGCCAATTCTTGGAAAGGGGAGGTTTGTTTTCTTTCATAGGAACTAGATGCTTTTTTATTTGTTTTTGTTTTTTTGAGACAAGATCTCCCTGTGCCCCAGTTGGTAGCTATGTAGGCTAGGCCAGTCTCCATTTCCCAGAAGTCCACCTGCCTCTGACTCCCAAGTGCTGAGATTAATGGTGTGTAGCACCATGCCCAGCAGGAGCTAGCTTCTTGAACTTTGACAAAACAAGAAAACTAAAATACTATTAGCATCCACAGAGACAATGTGTGGAACGCTGTGTAAAGTTCAGTATGACTAAAACTGCCAGGTGTGGTAGTGCATACCTGTAATCTCAACATTTAGGAGGCTAAGGCAGGAGAATTATCATAAGTTCAAGGGCAGTCTGAGCTACATAGTGAGACCCTGTCTCAAAACAGCCCCAGGGGTTGGAGAGAAGGCTCCCTAATTAAGAGCATTGGCTGTTCTTGCAGAGGACCTGGATTCCGTTCCCAGGACCCACATTGTGGCTAACAACTGTCTGTAACTCCAGTTTCAGGGGATCTGACACCTTCTTCAGGCTTCTGAAGGCACTGCATAACATGGACTTACTTACATACATGTAGGCAAAACATATACATGTAAAATAAAAATGACTAAAAAAAGGCACCCCCACAAAATGGCCAGAGAGATGGCATAGCATGTAAAAGTGCCTACCACCAAGTCTGACAACTTGAGTTTGATCCCCTGGACCTACATGATGGAAGGAAAGAGCCAAATGCCAACTCCTCTGACCTCCACACATGCATTGTGGTACATGTGGTCTAACACATATACACACACGCACTCACAAAATGAGTAAAATGTAACTGAAAATAAACATATTAGCTACCATTAAAAAAAATTATGTTTTTGGTCTTTTTTTGAGACAGGGTCTCCCTGTAGCCCCAGCCGGCCTAGAACTCAGAGATTAAAGGTGTGCTGGGATTAAAGGTGTGTGCCACCATGCGGGACATCATTTAAACAGTTTTTGGGTTTGTTTTTATTTTATGTGTATGAGTGTTTTGCCTACATGTAAGGGCATCCTAATCACTGAGCCAAACTATCACTATTTTTAGCATAAAAACCAAACTAAACCAAAACCCTAAAAACTCATTTGAATAAATCCTAGTGCAAATTGATTTGGTCCTGTTGTGGCAGTATCAGAACTGAGACACATTTTCCAGACAGCTGGAAGCTCTTTGCCAGGAGCAAGGAGATTTGCCCTAGACTTTCTGCCCAATGCCCACCCACGTAAGCAAGGAGACTCACCCGTGGCCTCTCAGAGACGTATTTCCCACAAAAGCGGATGAGACGGATGGCCTCCATGCTGGTGTCGGGAAAAGCAGCATTGCAGGCGAACTCAGACAAGCACTTCACAGCATCTTGAAAGGAGTCGATAGCTGCAGGGAAGTGGTGTTGGAAGATGGTCGCTGAGGAAACAAGGTACCAGGATTTAATGGTGGAGCTCAGAGACGACTGGCTCTAAGAAATCTAAGGTTCTGCTCAAATTTCCTGTGCTTCAATCTCCTCCTCCACAGAATGAGAGAAAGAAGAGTGATTCATGGTTTTATGTATATATATTTATTTATGTGTATGCGTGTATTGCCTGCATGTAGGCACCCATATCGTGCAATGCCCTTGGAGGACAGAAAAGGCTGTCAGATCCCCTGGAACTGGAGTT